TGCCCCCCCCCATCCCTCAGCGCGTCAGCCCTTTAGGTCCCACCCCTGTCCCATGGACACCCACGCTGGAGTAGGGGGTCTCTACTATAGAGGTGGAGGGAGGCCGGTGACGGGTCTGCCCCCAGCGGGTCCCCTTGACCGCAGGTGAACGCGTGGACACCAGTGGCTTCCATGCTGAGCCGGCGCAGCTCAGCTGGTGTGGCGGTGCTGGAGGGGTCTCTCTATGTGGCTGGCGGCAATGATGGCACCAGCTGCCTCAATTCTGTGGAAAGATACAGCTCCAAGGCTGGTGCCTGGGAGAGTGTGGCGCCCATGAACATACGAAGGTGCGCTGTCCCCCAGCCCACAGGCTGGGAGTATCACCACCACAGAGACTAACAGATGTGTCCCATGGTCTCACCCCTGCCTGCTGTGCCCCTCCGCCTCCTGTGCCACCCGCTCTCTCCCGTGCAACCCCTCTCCAACTCCAGCCCCAGCTCGGGTGGCGGCTCCACCCATGCCCCGTGGCCCCAGCGCACGCTCCTCCCATTACCTGTGGCCCCTCCCCGGGCTCCACCCCCTCTCCGGCTCCTCCCTCGGCCTGTGGCCCTACCCAGGGCTCCACTTCCAAACTCCTCCCATGGCCCCGTGGACCCACCCCCGGGCTCCTCCCACGACCTCTACCCCGCCCACCGGCTGATGCCCACCTGCTCCTCCGTCAGGAGCACCCATGATCTGGTGGCCATGGACGGCTGGCTGTATGCCGTGGGAGGCAATGACGGCAGCTCCAGCCTCAACTCCATCGAGAAATACAACCCGAGGACCAACAAGTGGGTGGCTGCTTCCTGCATGTTCACGCGGCGCAGCAGCGTCGGCGTGGCCGTGCTGGAGCTGCTCAACTTCCCGCCGCCCTCTTCGCCCACGCTGTCCGTGTCGTCCACCAGCCTCTGACCCGCGGCGTGGACTACGCAAAGGCCCGGCCCCACGGCCTCCCATATGCCTTAAGCCCCGCAGGGGGCCCCGGCGCCTCCCTCCCCTCCACCCGTGTGTCGGGAGCGGGCTCCTCCGCCCCCACCAGGGACATCCTGCATCGTCTGTCCACGTCTCTGGGCATCGAGGCCGCCGGTTTCCTGTTCGTTCCTCAGTGTTCGTTTACGTGTGTACCATTTACTTACCTGTTTATTTATTCAGTATTTATCGATCGACGAACAGCACTGCAGCTAGCAGTTTATACGTTTACTCTAGAGTGCCCTGTGTTTCTGGGGCCAGGTCGCCCTCTCCGGTCTCCTCTCGCCTCTCCGAAGGCACCAGGGAGCGGTGAGGGTGGACACTGTCGTTGCCAGTGGGTCAGGGCCAACTCAGGCTCTGCAGACCGGGAGGGACCAAGGGGCAGATGCAGCGGAACCGGCCAGGGTGGGGGACGTCCGTGTGCCCAGCCTTCGCTTTGCACACCACCCTTGCCTCGCCAGGCCGGAAACGCTCCCACGGAGGACGCTAAGGGGGCTCCCTACCGGTGGGCACGGTGTCTTTTCTGGATCCTGCACTGAGCTGGGCACACACGCGCGTGCCACAGACTCCTCGCAGCAATACGAGCCAACGTGAACAATAAACACGTTTCTTGGGCTCTGGGCCTGAGTCTGAGCATCCATCTCTTTTGGGGTCTTCTCTGGGGTCACTGGGAGGGCCTGGGGGTACAGCTGGGCTGAGGGGCTGTGTTGGCTTCCGGGGGCTCTGAGGCAGCACCATCGCGTCCGGCTGGAGCAGGGCTTCCGCATCCTGGACAAGTGTCTGACCATGAGCATGGTCCGTTGTCAGCCTGGTCCTGAGTGGCCCCCATGGCCTCTGTCTCACCCTAGGCTCTTGGGAGGCGGACGTACATGGCATTCCCCGTACCTCACCGTGACTGTTCTAGAGGCACCTGGGAGGGTTGTGACCTTCCTGGATTTTGGTTCAGCCTTGAGGACACTGACCTTGGCCAGGATGAGGGCTGAGCCCAGGTAGGAGAGGAGGCTGGAGAAGGGTCCTGGCTCCCTTCCCCCAACGTCGCAAACTCGTTTCAGCGCCAAGGCAAGCACACACCCCCTTACAGTCACCGGTGACTCAGACTGGCATTCAGGTGGAAGCGGGGTGTGTGCTCATGTGGGGGGGCCTGGAAGGGGGTCCCTGGGTTCATCCCGGCCTGAGTGAAGGCAGGCCACGTACTTAGGGGCCAGGCCTTTGAGGCCCCTCGGGCACAGACTGGAGGCTGAGTTTGGGGCAATTGGCTGGGCCAGGGGGTAGCCCCCGCCACCCTGTCCCAAGCTGGCCTGCTCCTGTGGAGGACCCAGGGCAGAGAACTGAAAGGCTTGGGCTCAGGTAGGGCCAGTCCCTTCCAGAAAGACTCCACCCTCGCCCGGCCCCTGGGTACAGGGCAAGACGTCACATAGCCCCGCCCCCCGGGAGGTGGGGGAAGGAGGCTCCGGACAGAGGGACCCAGACCTGTACCTGCTCAGCTCGGGCCAGCCGTCACCGCTGCCCATGGGGAACAGCCACTGCGTCCCTCAGGCCCCTCGGAGGCTCCGGGCCTCCTTCTCCAGGAAACCCTCGCTGAAGGGAAACAGGTGAGAGGGGCGGGCGAGGCCTCCACGCTGGGTCGCAGGGTCACTCTCAGCCCGTCTCGGGGGCCAGGATGTGAGCCCCGTTCTCTTGTCCCCAGAGAGGACGGCACGAGGAAGCTGGCTGGCCTGTTTGGCACCGAGGCCAGTCCTGACGGGGACACCGCTGCCGGCAAGATCTTCTACTACATCCCGGGCACGGTGAGCGGGGGTGGGCGTGTCCGGTGGCGGTGGTCTGTGTCCGCTCAGCTCGGGGTCTCCCAGGTCAGCCCCGGTGTTGAACCTAGACAAGGTGAGGAAGTAGGAGGGCCCCGCCCTGGGGAGCGCATCTGGCTGGAAGTCTGAGCGGAGAGCGAAACTGAGCCCCGACTCTGAGTCAGTGGGTGAGCGAGCCGCCGGGGCCGGCGCGGGCGGGGCCTCCAGGATCTCTCCGCTGCCCCGAGGGGGCGCTGTGGCCAGGCCGGAGCCCTGGTGTCTGCTTGCCCTAGGGACTGGACAGCATGTCCAGGCACTCTCGGGCTGGACTAGGCACAGGCATCTGAGTTGTCGCTGTGTGTGCTCAGAGGTCATGTTGGCGGTGTGGCTGTGAACGTCCACCCTTCACGCCTCTGAGGGGCTGCAGGTGAGCAGGGAGCCAGCCTCTCACCTACTCCAGGCCCCTGTTTCTTGCAGGAGTGGCGGGTCTTCTGGCGCCCACCGCTGCCTCCTCCCACAGCAACATCCCGTGTCCCCCCAGCCAAGGCCATACAGCAAGGACTGGCTGCCAAACACATGCGGGGCCTCCGAGCTGAAAACACCCCTCCTTCTGCCCAGCTCCTGTGGCCCCGAGAGTTAGCTGAGGGAGAGGGACACTCGCCCTATTCCTCGCAGGGCTGGCATTGGGCTGCGGCTCCGTCCTGCACTCCTCGGTCCTCACGCTGTCCCTTCCAGGCCCAGAGCCCACCTTTCCAACGCGTGCCCCCCAGGCTGGGGAGCCCCAACCTGGACCTTCCCCTGCCCTCCCTGCACCAGTGCTGGCTTCAGAAACCAGGCTGCCATCCCCTCAGAGGGATGGCCAGGACATTTTTGTCCAGGGCCTGTCCTGGCGGGGATGAGGTCGCATCTCAGACCTCAGCTCCCTCTGCCCAGGCCCAAGACACATAGATGACCCTGGCCGAGTCTCATGAGGTGTGTGGTCCTCTCTTGCCAGGACGTGGTGGCTGGATAGGAGACTGGGCATGTTGAACCTTGCAAGGTGGGGCCCGGGAGAACCCCTTCCCCCTTGCCCCCATGGTGGGTTCTGCACCCACACACAGCTGGCCTTGCCATGGCTCTGAGCCAGCTCCTCCCCGGGCCCTAGGCTGAGCGCAGGCCACAGGGCCAGCTGCCTGGCCTTTCCTGCTCCATGGCCTATTTTTCACGGGTCCCATCCTGGCGTCATTCCCCGCACTGGGTGTGGGTGCAGGAGGCCCCACCCAGAGGCAGGGAGGCCGGGGAGCTGTGCGTCTGTCTGTGCACATTCCTGGGCTCGTCCAAGGGGCAGCTTGGCCAGGGCACAGCAGCCAGTGAGGCAGCCCCTGGCGGCTCCCAAAGTGAGCACGGCCCCTCCCCAACTCGCCCCTGAGCCCTAGGCCTCAGCCCCTCCGGCATCAGGTCCGTGCCCAGCCCCGTCTGGTGGATTTTCTGCGTGCTGGGATCGGCTCAGCGCCTATGGGCACCGACCCTCCTTCCCTTCAGCTACAGGCGTTGAACCCCCAGCACATCCCAGGCCTGTCCTGGCCCTGGGGATATGGCGGTGGGCAAAGGAGAAAAGGCCCTGTGCTCATGGTGTTCCCGCCCCTATGACAGCTCCAGGTGACAGACAGATAAGTAGAACATACAATAGAGATGTGGCAGCAATAAGGAGAAGTGAAGGGGGGGAGGTGTGCAGAGGTGTCAGGGAAGGTCGGAGCGCTGGAAGGACAGCCAGACAGGGCCTCACGGAGGAGGCGACGTCACAGCCAAGGCCTGAGGGAGGTGAAAAGAGTAAGGCCAAGGGGCCCAGGCAGAGGGGCCAGCCCGTGCGCGAGGGAGGAGGACAGGGCCGAGGCAGGCCATGGAGGACCCCTCGGGCCATTTGCAGGACCTTGGCCCTCACAGAGTGAGAGTCGGAGGCATGCAGCCGGTGCCCACGTGGTGGGCAGGAGCTCTCAGGAGCTGGCCAGACGCCTCTCCGCCCAGCCGCACACCTGCTGATGTTACCATGGCAGTGGGCAAACGCTGTAAACCAGGCCCCCACTTTTTATTTAGGCCCAGGTACTGACCAGTTAGCAGGTGACGCTGAGGGCCGTGGGGTTGACCGCTGCCTCACTTACAGACCCAGCGTCCTGCGACCAGCAGGCTTTGAGAGGTTTGAGCAACCCAAACGAGGGCATGCGGCTTGGGAAACCCCGATGATGAGGGCTGACTCCCCATCGCATGCAAACCTCGCTGGCTCCGCTGTAGGCCAGGCCCCCTCGTGACTCGCACTGAGGCCGCGCGTGCGCATGCGCGTCCTGCCATTAGCTTCACGTGAGGAGGCTGCTGCGTGTACAGGCTTCTGTGACGATGTGTGGTTGCGGGGCTGTGTGCGGCTGGGGCTCAGGCCTCCTATCCTGAGCTCTGCTCCCCTCAGGACCTCCCGGGCCTGGAGAGCCAGCGAGAGAGCCTGGAGCAGCCGTTCCTGAGCGTGTTCAAGAGGGGCCGGCGCAGGGTGCCGGTCCGCAGCCTGGGCAAGGTGGTGCACTACGCCAAGGTGCAGCTGAGGTTCCAGCACAGCCAGGTGGGCGCCAGGCCAGGTGGGGTGCGCAGGGCCCAGCCTGCGGCCGGCCCTCAGCTCCTCAGACCGGCCCTTGCTCCCCCAGGACGTCAGCGACTGCTACCTGGAGCTGTTCCCCTCCCACCTGTACTTCCAGGCACACGGCCCCGAAGGGCTCACTTTCCAGGTGCGGGACATTCGCAGAGGGGGAAAGCCCCCTCCCC